TAATTCCACGAAGCCCTGAAGTTTATGATCGGGTACTCACCTCAGTGGCCCTGAGGGAACTCGACTATATCCATATATGAGCAATCTTTTGACATGGTATTAGAGCAAAACCCTAGGACTTGCTCTACAACCAAACCTAACCTTAAACTCTGATCCGCAGCTATGGTGAACCTAACTGATGTGGTATAAATTGACAGCATTGTGAACCCATCTGATGTGATACAAACTGGCGGCAATTCCACAGATTCTATTATAGAAGACCTGACGGCAAGAATGACTGAAGTCTTGACCAGAAATCAAACCCAAACCCACTTATTGACCTATGATGCTTCCGCTGCACAGATCGGCATTAAGATGGATGGCACCAACTATGCCCTCTGGTCCTAAGTTGTTGAGATGTATATCTCAGGCAAAGACAAATTGAGATATATCAATGGTGATTTTCAACAACCTGAACCTATAGATCCGACTTTCCGACGATGGCGAACTGAGAGAGCAATTGTCAAAAGGTAGCTGATCAATTCTATGGACCCGACCTTGATCAATAATTTCATTCGCTTCCCAACTGCAAAACTGGTATGGGATTCTATTGCTACTACTTATTTTGATGGAACTGATACTTCACAAGTATATGATCTAAAAAGACGGGTGATTAAAATGCAACAAGCCAGAGGATCCATTGAAAAATATTACAATGATCTTCAAGGCTTGTGGAGAGTAATTGATTTCCGGCGTCCTAACCCAATGAAATGTGCTACTGATATACAAAAATATAATACAATCCTACTAGGAGACAGAGTCTATATTTTTCTTGACGGATTGGACAATCGATTAGACAAGATTCGAAGTGATGTGCTACAGATACGTCCTTTTCCTACCATAGAACAGGCATATGCTCATGTTCGATGGGAGGAGATTCGGCAGGCGGTGATGCTCGTGGGTATAGGCACGACTAGAGCTGTTATGGCATCAAAAAGAGTCAAGATAGGACAACAACAATCACGTTCTCTTCAGTTATCCAAAAATGGCTCTACATGTAGTGGGAAACTGAATACCAAAACCAAGTTTCAATCAGAAGGAGGAGGTTGTATTCATTGTGGGAGCATGAAACATACCCATGAAACTTGTTTCAAGTTACATGGGTACCCAGACTAGTGGAATAAATACAATGCCCGGAAAAATAGTGATGTTGTCTCTAATGAAGGGTCTGACAGGGCTGCCCTGGTAACTGCAACACCTCAGTTATCTTTTATCTCACAAATAGAGTCTTCGAGTGATGAAACTCATCTCAATGATCAAGGTAACTGTGGTTATGCCCTACTTAGTTCTATCCAGAATTGTGATAATGGCTGGATAGTTGACTCCGGGGCCACGGATCATATGACATTCAATTCAGATGATTTTATTGAAGTTATCCAACCAAGGCGAACTGATATTGCGAATGATAATAGGGTTGCATATCCAGTTACAGGGGCTGGAATTGTTTCCTTATCATCATCTCTTTCTTTATCTAATACTTTATTAGTCCCATCCCTCTCAAATAAATTGATGTCTATAGGACAAGTTATTGAGGAACTAAATTGTATTGCACCAATGCATCCTACTTTCTGTCTCCTTCAAGATATTCTCACCAAGGAGATCATTGGGCGTGGTATTAAGAAGGGAGGGTTATATTACATGGATGACTTCAGCTCTAGTCAGGCTTATCATATGCACCACACAAGCATTAAGGAGAGACATATTTGGGTATGACATCGGCGCTTGGGGCATCAGTCATTTAACTATATGAAATACTTGTTTCCAGATTTATTTTCCAAATTACCTGACTCTGGTTTTAAATCTGATACTTGCATTCTAGCAAAAAGTCATCGAATGTCTTATTCCACAAGTTTGAATAAAAGTGATATTCCTTTTGCTTTAATTCATTCCGATATTTGGGGACCCTCTCCAATTACCACTTCTTCTGGCATTCGCTGGTTTGTGACATTTATCAATGATTGTACGTGTATGACTTGGTTATATCTGTTGAAACATAAGGATGATGTGTTTAGTGTGTTTCGATCTTTTCATACAATGATTCAAACTCAATTTTCAGCTAAAATTCAGATCCTTCGCTCTGACAATGGTGGTGAATATATTAATAAGAAATTTCAGGATTACTTTGCGACCCATGGCCTTCTTCACGAAACGTCATGTGCTCAAACACCCCAACAAAATGGAGTTGCCAAAAGGAAGAATCGGCTTATCTTAGAAACAACTCGTGCTCTTTTGCTTGGGGCACATGTGCTGAGTAGTTATTGGGATGATGCTATTACCACGACAGTATATCTATTAAACTGTATGCCTTTGAAAGTACTGCAGTTCAAGACCCCATTGCAGGTTCTTTCTAAACATGTTTCCTTGCCTACTATTTTGCTACTTCCACCACGGATCTTTAGTTGTGTCGCTTTTGTCCATCTCCATAAAAATCAACGAACCAAACTTGATCCATGTGCTGTTCGGTGTATTTTTGTGGGGTATGCTACACACAAAAAAGGATATCGATGCTACCACCCTGCCACCGAGCGTACCTACATCACTATGGATGTTACTTTCTTAGAATCAGAAACTTCATTTCCATCATCGGTATCCACTTCATCTCTTCAGGGGAAGATACGAGATGAAAAGCTGAATTGGTGGACTTGGCCAGGTTTTGAAGACAACTGAGTACAGATGAGTAACGACAATGAGGCAGTGGTTAGTAAAGAAAGGAGAGATAATCCTGATATTATTCAAGAAGTTGCATCAGAGTTTTCCAAACCTGAAAATGAAGAACCCCACTTCTCAGTACCCGAAGACCCTTCTCCTGAGAATACTCTTGAGGTAAGCTCTCCCATCACACCTATTAATGATTAGGATAACTCTGTTGGTTATACTTTACTTTCAGACACAATCATGGCAAGCCACCACATCGATACTCTCCAGAATCTGAGGAAAGAAGATCAAGATGCCTGATTGCCAACTATGTGTCTACTCAGAAATTACCAGAACTACTTAAGAAATTTGTGCATAGGTTGTCTTCACATCATGTCCCCAGCACAGTACAAGAAGCCTTATCAGATCCAAAGTGGTCTCAAGCTATAAAAGCAGAAATGGAAGCTTTAGAAGAGAGTAAAACATGGACTCTTGTTCCATTACCAAAAGGAAAGAAGACAATGGGGTGCAGATGGGTTTTCTCCATTAAACACAAGGCAGATGGATCCATTGGACGGTATAAGGCGAGACTTATGGCAAAGGGATATACACAAAAATATGGCATAGACTACCAAAAAACCTTCTCACCTGTGGCAAAGTTGAAAACGGTCAGAGTCTTATTATCCCTTGCAGCAAATTTGAACTGGTCGTTACATCAGTTTGATGTAAAGAATACATTTATTCATGGTGATCTAAAGGAGGAAGTTTACATGGATATTCCACCAGGATACATGACATCTTCAAATGTTGAGGTTGTGTGTAAGTTACAAAAGGCACTGTACAGACTAAAACAATCACCTTGTGCATGGTTTGGTCGGTTTAGCTTGGCTATGAGAAAGTATGGTTTTACCCAATGCAATTCAGATCACATACTATTCTTGAAACACCGACTAGGAAAGGTAACATCTCTAATTATATATGTAGATGACATGATCATTACATGAGATGACATCGAAGAGATCTCTAGACTTTAAGGGCAACTATCAACTGAATTTGAAATGAAGAATATCGGAGGACTCAAATATTTTTTGGGAATTGAGGTGATTAGATAGAAACAAGGTATATTTCTTTCTCAAAGGAAATATGTGCTAGATTTATTGTCCGAAGTAGGACTACTAGATTGTAACTAGCTAA